GGTTAATAACAGATACTCGGTATCATGGCTGTAATCCGTTTAAAATTAATGAATCCGGACAAATTATATACTTGTATGTGATGCGATGCTAGTGTTATATATATCCCTTTGATTCGTTAATACGTTCAGCTCTTTCCGTGGAATCCGTAACCTATTTATATGTATTGGAGACCCAATGAAATTTACCGACTTATGGAATTTACAATATTAACGGTTAACATTACTTGATTGGTATTAGGCCGACGAATTAGTGATGTCAATCCAATATTGACGTATGTTTATTATAGTATTCGTCAATTTCAGTCATAATATGATTTAAATAATTTTTAATATTATTTAAAAGTTTAACTCCGAAGTAATTTTCTTCGTAAACTCTATATGCATACAGCTGTTACTAAGGGATGAAAAAAAAAACTAATTGAATATATTTATTTAAAATTGAATGTAAACATATGTAAATTTCGATTTCGTTCAATTTATTTCAGTTTAAAACAAATAATATAGTATAAATTAATTCAAATAAATATTATTTTCGACGTCAAAAAGATTTTTTTTATATCTCTATAGTAATCGTAAATGAATTCATCAATATTATTATTTCACTAATTAACTCAATGTTAAAATAATTTTCTTGTAAACTAATTTCACTGAGTATTGTACACATATTTAAAAATTGCTTTTAAAACATTAACTATTCATTTTTTAATTTTGTATTAATACTTTTATATTTAAAATTTTAATATTGGCCACAAGTTTTCAATTTTTACTATTGAACAATGTATTATTATTTGTTTTAATAATATGCACTTACCAAGTATAGCACTTATTACTGTTTTATATAATTTTAACGTTCATCGACAGAACAGATTTTTCGAAGAGAGCCAACTTTTGGCTTTAATTATTCTTTATTAACAATTTTGCTTAGTCGTAGACATCATAACAACCGACTTTGATTCAAATAACTACCGTCGAGGAGCTTTATTAAGAGAGTATGTCACTGCGGCTCTTCCGGTATACTACTATTAAAACACATCAAATATTAGCTGTCCCCTGGCTATACTATGAAACGAACAGTGAACTTATAACTTATAATGAACAATAACTTCCATTTTGTCCTTGAGCCATTTTCTCAAAAAGTATACGCTCTAATTGCTAATTATCTAGATCTCTTTTCAAACTATTGTTATACAATAATATTTATGACATTTATTATTATAATCTAAACATTAAAACATACGCAAAAAAAATTATAATAGACAAAGTTATTTATTCACTCTATTTAATTCACAGTTAATTGAATTACACCAATTCCCCAATTGGAACGATGCAATTAACAAGTGATAGTATGACTATGACGTATGTATACTAATAAATTGCGTTTGTATACTACTTACACAAAGGATTACATCGTTCAACGCTTCTAGTTTACTCTGTTCTTCTCTGTACAATAATTATTATCATTTCTCATTCTGTTTTGACTAAACACCTCGAATAAAACACTGTACAATCCGTTTTGGTTATAATTATATACGTGTATTGAGTAAAAGACGTATTTGCACAATGGTTCTAATCAAACCACTAGGTGTGTGTGGTGGTTGTGTGGGTGACAATAAATCTATTGTTCGATCTGCAGCTTTATATGGCTTTTAGTATTGTGTATATTCATTGCATTATTTAAGTTTGATTAAAGTTTAGTGCTATGATAATACTATAAATGTTCCAGCATGGTTATTGTCAGACTCAAATGCACATTATTTTTTTGGGGAAAGCTTGAATAGAATCGGCAGGTACAATAGAAAAATCTTTGACATTGTGTTTAAGAAAATTCGTCGAAATATTTGCAAGAAAAGTTTAATGGAATGAATGAGTTGAAATTTCTTTATAATAAACTTGAGTTCGATTACCGGATTTGAAAAATTATTATTAAAATGAATGCCCTCTCTACAATGGATGTACTTTTGAGTATTATGAAAAATAAATAGGGTTTGTATTTTCTCTAAGAATTTAGTGAAATTCGCAGCGAATGAAAAAACATTTTTGTTGTTTTTTGCATAACATTTATTATATTAAAATCATATATCATCAACCAGAATAACTTTAATCGATTACCTGTCTTCGAAAAAATAGTGGATAATATACGCAAACCCAACGAACATCTGATGCTCAGAAAATTAGTCCCCAAAGAAATACAAAAAAAAAAGAAGTATTAGTTTTTAAAATAAAAAACTTGCATTTTCATGTAAATAAAATGTTTATTTACTAATAAAGTAGTTCCATTTGAGTTTTTTCGTAGTAGGTTTATTCTTTAAAGGAAACTTGTCTATTCTGCATAAAAACATGTTGGTATGACATAAAAGAAGAGTAAGCTTGTAAATGTGTGTGCGAGGTCCTTGTTCAGTGTAAATATCTACGGGTTGTCGTGCTATCAACCTATCTGCTTTCAAAGGAAACATGTAAAGCCACAGTGATTGTAGGCTATTAATTTTTATCTAATATAGTGTTAACAATGGATGGAGGTCCTCGCTCGCCCTCCGTCCACAACCATTCCCCACCAATAGAATTTCAAACAGCCTATGCTCATCATTTATATCGGAGTTTCCATCATGCCTGTACTCTTTAAACCCACTTTATCATCCGAACTGAACCGAAGTTTTCTACGAGATGGTTTTTAAGTGGAAACAATAATAATATTTCACCCTCACATACATCATGTTATGTATCTATGCATGCTTAGTAAAATGTTTCCTTTTTCGTTATTATGGGTCACACAATCGATATCTGACATGAAAGTTATTAAAATTGCGCTGACGTTAAACCTTTGAAGTCGATAAAGGCTGCTATGAAAAAATTATCCCATCGATATTCCTGTCAACCGTTTCTGTTCTGTTTTACTTCCTCGTTATCTAAGCATCGAACTCTCTTCTTAGCCTATTCCATTTAAATTTCTTAAACAGATTTTTTTCCATCTTAAATTACGTATCACTTTCATGTTATATTCTGCATCACAATCTTTCGATATACTTATAAATTAATTAAAGTCAAAGCGTCATCTTGTCACTTATAAACTTTCGCAGTCTTCTATGGAATCCTATTCTCTCTGAGGAATGTTATTTCACGAACGACGCTGATGTCTTACTGCTAACATAATATTATTATAATAATAAAGTCTCATCATATAACGTACACCGTTATTATGATTTCGTTACAACATCTGTACTCACAACACAGTCAAGCCATTATATTGCCTACTCAGAACGCCGTATAATAAATAACTCCAGCTGAGGTATAAAATTCGGCAATCGATATTCATTCTTCATTTTGTTTTGGTTTTTTCTTATAACTATGATAATATTATTGTTATTTGAGCTATTGGTTGACTAATTTTAATTCGAATATCAATTATACTATGTTTGGTAACAAAAACTATAAGCTCGATTTTATACTTATAAAAGAGCTAATATTTATACGTAACACTTGTTTTATTATTAAGTTGTGATCATCGAAAGTACATGTATGCTTGTATACTAAAAATAAAATGGAATTATCATTTTTGTTAAATGTTTTTTAACATGTTTAATTTATTAACATAGTATAAAATAAACATTCATTTTAAACTTTGGCCGACTACAAGTAGTTGGGATTAAGGCGAGGAAAAAAAAGAAGAGTATCAAATGAACTTTGATGAATATATTTCTTCTACTAATATTTATAACTCTGTTTCCATTAATTATAGACGCAGTTACGTTTTAATTAATTCATAAATTTCTTTATAAAAAGGTAGACATTGGTTGTTGTGGTTAAATATTGTTCTTGTTAGCCAAATTATATTTCAAAACGAAATCTAAAATTTTATGAACACGCTTCTGTTTTTCGCTACTCTTACCTGTGCTGATAGCATGAAAATTGATACGGGAAAGCATCACTTGTTCAAACACTGCATACATTTCTCAGGACCATTACAGTAGTCAGGAAATTATTATATGGAACTAAGGCGTGTGTAGTTCAGTTTTCTCGTCACACTTTAGCTAAGAGAGACAATAGACTTTAATTTCACTCACTCGGTATTTTGTGTGTATTTTCTGGAGGGCGTACTGTGGATTGGGTTGAACAACGCCTGATAGGAACAGCCGCATTTTAGTCTGAAGACTGTGTATATTGTTGTTATTTTACCTGAGGCAGTTGCTCTTGTCAAATTATTAATTCTGCTATCCTTGTCTATCCAACAGATGCGTTTTCGAAAGACATTCGTTATTAATAGTTTAATTTCATACAAGAAGAGTACGAATAGAACTCAGACAACAGAAAGGCTACAGAGAATACATGATAACTCACGCGGTGCCCTTATAACTCTTGTCAGCTTGTAAAATAAATTATGAATGGCTTCCAAGTGCTAGAAACTTCGCTTAAGACTCTTCGAAAAACTTTATTTGGTATATCTTTACCTCCACAAATATAAATATAAATAGTTTGACACCTCAGTGTCAAACTATGATATTTCCAGTTAAAATTATTTCTATCGCTTTACTGTATCGGTGACACGATATAAACGGTAAAAAAATAAATTTACATCCTAATATTATATAATATAAGGTGTAATGTAATATACTTAATAAAAACCGTATAAGTGAAACAACAAACTACTATTAGAAGACTTTTACCCAGGTCTTAAATGACTACTTTGTATGCATCATTCGCAATTGTTTTTCACGTAGATCTGATAAATTATTAACGAATGGAAAAAAAAATCGACTAAGTCGTGTGACCGTAAAATATTTCCCTAACCCTTACACTTTCTAAACCCGTTCTCTGATATTGCGACCCCATTACAATTGTTAACAATATTAAAATTTTATTCCTATTATGAAATTTATTTACAATTAAAATTCATATTTAATTATTAAGCTATTAAAAACACAGAGCAATCAAACAATTATTATTTATTTCTGTCATTAAATAAAATCATTTTTGTTCTTTTACTAAGCCTAATTTTTTTTTTTTAGAATCTTGAATCGCAAGAGAAAAAACATATGCTGCACAAAGACACATTAAGCCGAGAACACAGATACCTTAGGCGGAGGTTGGACCAATTGACTACCACGCTGAATGTGAACAAACGCCGGTCCGTGTCCGAGTCCAGCAACTATACGACTGCTTCCGGCGCATCAACGTCCTCTTCTGCTTGCAGCACGTCTTCGTCGCCGTCCATATCTGAATCAGGTAAGTTATATTTCTATTATTTAATGATTGTGTCGTTTCGTTGACAAATAATTGCGTTTTAATTTATATCATCAATGGCGTATTTTAATATTACTCTAGCAAAACTATTTTGCATCGTTTGTATCATAGACGCCGCCATGGCTTTTTTGTTTTATTCTGAGTATTTACTTCACTACCGTGTGTCAGCATAGAAATCGATTTTTTTTTAACGTGAAAACTGCCAGTGTCTGAACAATACACATTCTTCAATTGTTTTAAAGTCATTTTCAAATGGGAAGAAATAGATGACGATAGCGGCGCTGGTAAACTGATTTTCAAATTAGTCTCGAGTAATTAAAATACAGCTTTATACTAATTATGTCACATCTCATGGTCGTGACGCAAAACTATATGCTCAATGCTCGCTTGCTCCCTAACGAGCACCTAATATTCAAAAGTTACTTTATTGTTGTTATAATACCAAAAAGTTACAAACATACACTGATGCAATATGTAAAATGAAATTAAATGAAACCCATGGGCTACCATGTAGTATGGCAGCTGCTGCGTTATATTGCACATTTCGCGCTAACGATTTTCAATTTAAAACACACATTAGAGGTTTTACTCTTAGTATTTACACCTTCGGTGCAACAGTGGTAGTTCTGTTTAATCCCAAATGTCTATGGTACCAAGAGAAACATTAGATTACTATTAAATTTATTAGACCCTTCAGTATATTTAATTATGATTAAATGTAATATTTTTACGTAAGTTTTAAATAACTTGCTAAAAGATTCATATACATCGACAAGTTGTTAAATTCATTTAGGAAAAATTTTATCGAATATACTTATGCGAAATTATAAATACGGATACATCTGTTTATACATTTTTTTAATAGTTAAACCCAACTGAAAGAAACAAAAGGAGATACTTTTATACCTCGTTAGTGTTAACTTCTAAGAATTTAATTCTTGACCCTGCGCTTTAATAAAACCAACTTCCGCGTAATTCTTTCTATCTTTCCTTTATTTTCATTGACTTGCAATTTTAACTCATTTAAATTAACTTATTTCTCAACTATTGTTTCCAATGGGAGTTTGTTTTGAGTCTTCGGGGCATTCAAAGATCACCACTATAATAGGGTCACGTCATTTTGTTTTTAATTTACTCTGGTTAGTTCCATAAATGTACCCAACTGCGTCGATTTTAGGCGAAACCGCAGCAGCTGGCGCCAACGGCGAGTACAAAATTAAAATACCAGAGCACTGATAAAGTACCCAATTGTGTTTTCCTTCTTCGTCATTTTAATTTTTCATAGTTAAAAGTCAGAGGCTGAGGGTTGAGTAAAGTCGATCATTTAGATTTTTAAAATATTCACACAAAGCTAAAAAAGAACAGTTTTGCGTAATTAGTCATTCATTAAAGTCTTAAACAACTCGGAAACGATAATTCAATATAAAAATGTTTTTCAATGAATATTATAAATAATTTATTACAATTCGTTAAAAAGTTCTTTGTGAATCTTGCAAATATTTACCTCTCGAATGATTAAATTATTGTTTATTATTACCTTTATGATAAAATGTTTCATAAACATTTTTTTTTTTTTTTTACTTTATTTAATGTTTATCTAGTAAAATAATTGTTTTTATTAATTTAATTTTTCTAAAAAGCACATATCAAGGAGTGTTAACCAAGTGTTAGTCGAAGCATATGCTGTAAGTAGATGATTATATATTTTCAAGCGTTTGTAAAAGGTTAAATTCGTTGAATTTCTGCCAACCGACAGAAGTGAAGTAATTTGTAAGAAACGTTTTTGACATTTTACGACTGTATGGTTAAAGTTGGTGGGAGCTGTTTGAACGGATAATGATGTATCTTGAAAAGTGCTGTGGTGAGGTACATGTGGTTTAGTGTTATTAGCTCTGTGGTCCCAACTGACTGTGGAGATAGGGGGTCAGCGAATACAGAGGAAATACGAGGAAAAAATACACACAGGAAAAAAAGAATAAAAACAGGAGAAACGGGTGGTGACTGAAACGAAACGTCTGGTTTTCGATCCTCGTCCTTGTGCGTTATAGTGAAAGTTGATAGCGGTTTTTCCTCTTTCGTTTTCAAAAGCGCTCAATTTTCTGTTCCATTAACCGGTCGAATGACTTTGCAGACAGATATACGGCACTGGCAAACGTTATACTGGGCGGCTGGTGAAAATAACCGCCAAGTAATTCGGCACACATTTTTAACCGTAAACCGTATACATCACACATAAAATATCTACCTGAATACAAACAAGAAAAGTATAAATACCCTTTGGATAGAAAAACAAAAGAAAACTTCAAGTGTTTTGTAGTCTGTACGTCTAGGCTTTGGTATTTTAGTATTTTTTTCCTCTGTGTTAACTTTAATTGTATAAAAATCGTTAGTAAGGTCTCGGGTTTCTTCCTCCGTCGTCATTTTCAGGTCGTGTGCTATCTTTACCCTTCTTTATGCTGTGGGTATCACTTTTTACCAGAGCGTTATCTATTACCGAAATTGAAAACTTATGTATGGATTCCTTTGTGTACGATCATAGAAGTTTTTCAAAGAGTGTGTTTGTAGGAGAATAGTGGCTGTTAAGCAGTGCGACACTTTTAAACGATATTCTTACCAAATATCTACGGCAGCAAAATTTGTTACTTTTTCTTTATGTTATTTTTATATTGAATAAGCCTTTGACATTTTTGGCTGATACAGTTAGACTGTTTACCCGGAAGCCATCTCAAATCCTGGCAAAATATCACTACTACAAATATCAGTTGCAGAAGCTCACGTATATGAATAACTTTACGCAATCTCGTTATTGAAGTATGCACGTCACAAATATGTTATTTCCCTAGAACAATTATTATAATAACCACCAAAAATATTCACATTCAATTTCCATTTTAGACAATTCTATGAATTTCTTTTTGCAGTGGTTGTTATATATAATGTTAAAATGCTTCAAGAAAGTATAACCTCGTGTGTGACACAACACAATGAGCATGCGTCACACCGGTATAACGAGTGTGGAAAGGCGGGTTATGTCGTATGGTACGATGGTGGGGACAAAAAGGAAAATGGTGAAAATAAAACACAGAACGAGATAAATCAAAAACCTTTTTGAGGGCGTACACAGAGAACAGAGTTGGACGTGAGAGGAGTGGGATTGAAAGGACACGGAAGCAACTCGCCGGAAATCAAACCGGGCTCTAACAACACTGCTGCATCCATGACGGTCGTTTGGTGGTCGGATAATTTATAGCGTATAAAAACTATGCGCATTATTTAGCAAACGAGAAAACCCTTCCCTGTAAACGTGAATTCCGCTGTCCATACAGCTGTAGACACATAATGTATAATGTATACCGAACGGCATGTGACATTGTTATCATATCGCTTTATATAGATGTACATATTTCGTTGTCATCATTATTGTTGTTGTTATTTTTCGTCCCTCCGCGAAAAATCAAAACTAACACGTTGCTCATTATAACGTTATCATCTAGCATCATTTCACATCATCGTAAGTGATTTATAACGGTGACGTTCCAATCTAAGAGAACACTCTGCCTGTTATTATAATACCTATGTTATCATTAATTCACCTCCGTTGTGATGACGTCATAATATTTTATTATCTTATCATTTCATATATATATATATATATATACGAGTAGAAATTGTGTACTCTGTTTGTGACGGTAAACGACGAAATGTCGTCGTCTACGTTGGGGAGGGGGGTGTCGGCGACGTTGGTAGAAATAATGCGAACGCAATTAACCAACGAAAAAGATTTATTCAGGTAGCGGGAGGACACATTGCATCGGTAATAAATTGCCAACGCCGCAGTCTTTCACCACCACCGCTTCCTTCGTTTGAGCCGATAAATTGCTTTAGGAAAATGTCACCAGCGCCAAGGTTTATTTTTCACTGCTGGTCTTCAATATTATTGTATCCACTTGCCCGCGCGTCTTCATCTTTGTGTTTGCTTCGGTGAAAGATTAATGGATTGCCAAATGACTAATTTCTTTCACAAAACGACACAATGGCTAAAAATTCCTATTTGTCCAGCTATTTGTTCCTTAGTGTTCATTTTTTTTTCTTTTTTTCCAGACGAAGTAGACGTAACTGGATGGGTCAGTGACACGGGCAGTGTGCAATCCGGATCCAGCGACAGTGGTGTAGCACTCTCTACTTGCCGTATCACTCTTTCCGAAATGGTATTTTAAGGTAAATATTATTTTGAAAATAATTATCGTCCTTATTTTGTTATGAAAATATTTTAACGTTTGACGTTGTATTTCAGAATCGAAAAAAAAAACAAAAAAGAGATGGCAAAAAAACGACTAAGACGATAAAAACATAAATTTATTTAAAAAAAAAAAAACGATAATTTTTTGTTTAAGTACAGTTTAACAAAAAAAAAAAAATCGATTGTATATTATTATTTTTTATTTATTCATAAACACTTTGAAATTATATAAATCAGTATAAATCTATATTTATGTATTATGTTCATGAAAGCGACTGTCATCACGGTGATAAAACAGCCCACGCTTACAACACTACTATCAAAAAATGAAGCTTCTTTTCAGAGCCATGTGCAAAAACTGCGTTATCAAGAGATCATCGGACACAGTTTGCTCACGTCTATACTTCTACTACAAACCCGGAGACACGTCTGCGTTCCCTATACACTTTAGTGCTATTCTATTTTACGCTGCGCCTATGCCTATTACCTTTCCCCGTGTTAAATTGCATGGTTGAAATATATTATCCATTATCATATTATGAACATAAAACACACATACACTCACACAAACACTTGCTAAGCACACACTGCAAAATATATATACCATTCTTTCAGAATCCTTTTCATGCATACTAACAATTGAACCAGCGACGTCCACCAAAAACTCAGCTCTAGTCACCAAATAAAAAAAAAAAACATTTAAAAATAAATTATATTGTATAAAATATATTATATATTATATTTTAAATTTATTATTATTATTTATATAAATATATACGTTGGTGATTGGCCATACTCGTGGAGGAGAATTTTAAAATTAAAATTTAAAAAAAAATGTCAAACAAGTACTATTAAATTATTATGTATATTAGTTAATAACCTTAACATTAATATTAAAAAAACCAACATATTAATATTTAAATCTTAACACAAAATTTATCAGTATCTCATTATTCATAATTTTCTTTTGACTATTAGTTTAAAATTTTTATTTATAATTATATACATACTTAAATGTGTATGAATCACAAGACCTATTTTTATTTTGTTCTGTTAATAAATTATTATTGAGTTATATAATGATGTACGGTAAATATTATATATTAAAACATGTATAATTATATTATAATTGTACAAATTAAACATGAACATTTTGTGAGTAGACCGTTTTATAATACGGGGACAAAAATTGTATAAAGAATACCTATAGTAATTAATTGTAGAGTTGGGCATTAAAACATAATATAATTTATGAGTTCCCTACTGTGTTCACAACTGTGTAATAAATATACGTCGGATTAATTATAACATTCTTAAAACTTTAATAATTTGATTTCTTTGAAACACTGTTGAGAAAAAGAAGCCAAGAGAGTAAAATAATTTGAGCGTGTGTATTATACGTTTGAAGAAGACCTCAAAAAGTTCTGATAGATCTCTATTTATTTTCTATTACCTGACCATAACTCAAAATATATTTATATACGAGACGTGTGAAGATATATTCTAAACAAAAGACGTATAGCCAAGGCAATGAAAACCCTACGGGACGCTGATTTGTAGTGCGCGCTCTTTGATTTTTTTTTTCTTTGTCCGATGTTTTTTGATCTCAATTGTCCCTTTTTGACATTCACGTACATTTTCCTGTAAAATGAAACTTCCCTAAGGTCCATCGCCTTTGCTGTCACACGATTTTTTACGAATTTAAATTGATAATGATAAAAATAAAAGTCGTTTTTATGGAATCTTCACCGAGTTCAGCTTCCAGGTTTCGGGGAAGGGGGCAAATTGACATTTAATCAATTTTATTAATTTAATGTGTATCGTTAAGAACTATGCTTATCTCAGGAAAGAATGCATATAATTTATTACTAGAAAAAGGGAAGAGAGGGGTAATATATTGTTTGGTGTAAATATCAGACCATTTTTTTAAACTCAGGATAAGCTTTTATTAATAAACAATAATATAACTTGTAGGTAACAAATTTCCACGTATATAATAACTTATTGACTTTTAATCAGAATACGATAAATAATATTCAATGCATCAGTTTTAATGAAGAATGGCAACTCCGTCATATTAATATACATATTATAGGAATATATTTTCTTTTTGGATTGGCTACTGATAATTTGTTATTAGTAGATGTAATCGTGTAATATGTATCCGCTCGCTTTTTAAGTATTAAAAAAAAAGTTATCGTCATAAGATTCTTGGGTAGGTAAAGGTTTGAATAAGGAAACTTAAAAAGATACAGGGTCAGAAATTTTTCCGTTCTCATGATGTACTTAACACGCATATGTATGTTGCAGATACATGACATGTAAAGTAATACTGTGGTCGCGTGTATATGAAATGTGTGTGGCATACAGCGTGTTTGCTCAATTGAACGACTTAAGGTTAAGCGAATGACAATGTTCGACGAGTTTGATTAATCGTATTACACTTGGCGATGTACGTGTTCGTGTGTGTGTTATTATGATAAAAAAAAATGCTGATAATAATGTACATAAAATGTTATGTTAACAATGTGCATATGTTGTATCATTGTGATGCATCGTATGAAAGACTCCTCGGTGGAGTGTCGCGTGACTCGTGTACCTGATAATAATAATGATATTTATAAATATGTCATACATATTGTATATGTATTTATATGTTCTTGAAGAATTATTTCTTAATATATTGTGATAGTATTACAATGCCATTAGGATTGCTTGTAGAAAAATGAATTTAATGATAAACGTGTTATTATCCTTAAAAACAACCTACTATAAAGTTATTAAGGATCTCATCCTGAGAAACATGAATTTCTTACATTTTTAATTGAACCAAGTTTATGACTACTCATTTATACATAGTTATTTGTATTCATCTGTCTATTCCAATTCCGAATGATGCAAATTGTTATTATTTCATTTTTTATACATTTTGTCGAATGAACAATAGCGAAGAAAACAATTTTGTGCTTAAATTTTTTATTGGGCTAACGGATCCTGTATTATATTATTGTATTTTTTGTGACTTGAACGAATGAAAATAACAAACAAATCCTTCGACTGAGAGTTTATATTTACATTAATAATTATTTATCATACTATTTTTCGTGTAAATTAATTTGTTGTTTTGTATTATATTTATTTTATTCTATTATGATTGATTTTAATTTTTTTTTTCTTTGTTAAAATAGTAGAATGAGAGTTTGGAGTATGAGGTCGAATAAGCGGAAAAAGAGGTAAACGCGGTAAATGTAAATACTATATTAATTATGTATCTTTTTGACAAACGCGAGCTTCAAGATCTCACCTGGTGCAAATCGTTTTTGATTCCCCGGCGATTAATGTAAAATAAGTGTGCGCGCTTATATGTCCGAAATCTTAGAGAAACGTATTGTACTATTAAAACATCTTTAAAAATCCAAATTTATCGTTTTTTCCCAAAGAAAAATCTTACATTGTACTTTGAGTTTGAAGGCATGTCAAGTCGAGTTTTCTGTAAAATTATTTAGTGGGATCAAAGTCGTTTCAGATGCACTGGGAATTCCTCAATATTAATTAGACGCTCCCAAAAATTCTAACTAATTAATATTATACATGAGGTGAAACTTTTTTGTTTTTTTAATATGAAAAACGACTGGCTGCTTGAAAATATCATGGGCAGCAGTGTTTGGCAATACTAGTAAATTTCGGTCTTTTCCATTTACCTTCCAGAGCTTCAAAAGGGTATAAATATTTATTATGTTAATTGCGTAGGGCTGTCTCGCCATCGGGGCAAAATGTAATGTGTATAAACCATTATGTTATGATAAAATATATATACAAAGAAAAAGGTTGCAAGTGTAATAAAATATTTTATTTATAAATTGCTTAGGGGAGGGGGGTCAATACGTCAAATTGGTATTTAAATAACTATTTATTATATGTATAAAATGTATGGAACAAGTAGCCATTATCGGTTTTCAATTTTTTTTTTCAAATCCATTATATTGTTCAAATTTAATAAATTACAAAAAAAAAAACAATATAAATGTTTAATTTAATTATATATAATACGTGTTAATGAGAAGAAGAATAAATTGAAGTGAAATTAATATTTAGTGATTTATTGTAATGATAAGTTGTTTATTATTATTGTCGTTCCCATCAGTTTATTGTCTTTTTCGTTGACCTAACATTAATATGAAATGTACAAACGCCTTGAAATATTTTAATGCATTTTATTATGGCATAATAATAATATTAATTTAAGGCTATATTGTTTAATATTATATTACATCCACACACACTTCAATGTTGTGTATGTTAAAATTATTTATTTTCAATATGATGGAAAATTTTTATTGTTATAATTTTCCGTCTCGTAAAAATATTAAAATGCCACCCTAAAAATAAAAATTCACATATTATTACACACAAAAAAAAAAATCACACACGTATATAAAATATTAGTAATTCATATTTACGGAAACTCCTGTATATTTTTATCTTTTTCTGTGTTTTATTTTAATTTTTTTCATTAGATATAGACAATACCCATTTGGAAATATAATAATATTATAAATTATATGTTATTGTCTTTCGCATGATAAAACCAATAATATAATATGATTATTGTATAGTTTCCTAGGCCTATATTATAAATCTAATAATTTTTAATACTAGTATATGTACGTGTTATACTTCTTTATTTAGATATGTCAACTTTCCAATTTTACAGATTAATAATAATAATATTATATAATATAAAATATTATGTGGCTGTACAATTTACAAAATTGAAAATCATACAAAAATATAACAAAAAAAATTGATATAATAATAAATATAAAAAAAAAGATATAAATTTAAAATAATTGTTTTTTTTTTATTTAGAACACCTTTGCTCCTTGTCATTTATTTTGGAACACACTTGAATTTAATACTCTAATTCGAATTCAATGTCTTCTCTCATCGTATAAAATGGTGTACTATGAATTGATAA